TGGAATATTCAACATGCACAATTTCCATTCATGGAGCATGGAAAATCCACACGCCATTCGCCGACACAGCTTTCAACGTCAGTTCGGCGTTAATTTATGGGCTGGAGCACTCAACAAAAATTAATTGCACCACATGAATTGCTCGCCAGGTTGAATGGTCAGTCATGTCTTGCTTTTCTACAAAGCAGTTTGCATGAGCTGCTAGAGGCTGTATCTTTGGACGTCCGAAGCCGTATGTATTTTCAATCCGATGGTGCCCCATGTGACTTATAGATGTTTTATATAGAGAAATGTCAACCAACTACGCCAGAAAATTGATGAAGGAAAAATAAAAATGATGGAAAACGCAAATCCATTTCAAACACTAAAGGACAATTTTATTAGAAGGTGTCGCTTGTGCACAGAAAATAATGGAGGCCATTTCAAACATGTTCTTTAAAAGTTAGCTAAATTTAATTATCTTCCACATTTGTCGGTAAATCTCCATAAAGAGCGGCTAAACACAATAGGTTCTGTACTTGCATGTGGTAAGGATTCTATTGCGTTTCTTACGTTTAACGCATCAACAACGAGTGTGACATGATACACTCATCGCAGCATGCTAAAATTTTCAGGGTTTATTCTACATGGTTCGAGTTCATTTTGCAATAAAATGAATGATGAAATACAACTTCAATTTTTTGAGCCGCCCTCCAAAGTTGAAGGATTTTTCACAAGAAATGAATTTAAGGTTTTTTGCATTGATTTCTAATAAGCTCTGTTGAATAGTGACACAACCATTGCTAAAACTAACCTTCCAGCTCATCTCAAAACAAAATTACAGCCCTAAACCTAATTTTTTAGTTGTAATTGCGAATGAAAGCTCATTATCCCGTTTTTTTCGAAATTTCACAAAATTGCAAATACCTCCTGAACTATAAAATTTCGGACCACACATATAGGGGCTAATTCGATATGTTTTGAGGCCCTCTATCACCTGTCTTCCGTTGATCCACTACTAACTTTACACCCTGAAAAGGCTTTCTCTCACATTATGTAAATTTTTCTACAAGATGCCAACTTAGCAGTTGCTGTTGTACACTTGTTGTGTACTCGTTCTGTAGCTAGCTGTACTTGCTGCCAAAACGTCATGATGCTTCAGCTATCCATGTTTGGCTCTGATGTAATGTAACTTCTGCTTCAGAGATGGCACATCACTGATTTTATACTCATTCAGACCAAAACAATCATTCAGATGGGGTCTTGTTACTCTGATAACCAATTTTCTTTCCGTTTCATCCTCTCAGAGATACTTGCATACTCTACAGACTATCTCGGCATTCTGCAACCAACAAAGCATGCTGGCTACTTGCACACTAGCAGCTATACTACAACTATTTAAAACTGTAATGACTCATACGCGTGATCAACACGTGATCAGAGCTCGATCCCGGCTTCCTTCCACTTCAGCCATATAGCGTACGACATATGTCGTTTCTGTGGCTTTGCGGTGGTCAACAGCACAGACAGAGATGGAAATAATGGCTGATTTTTCTCCGCCGGTAGAACCAATGAAATCAAAGACGCGCCTCGACCGGCAGACTCATAGGCGTCGGCAACGCATTGGAACGTGTTTCGTTGAGCGATCGCATATTGTGTGTTTTTATAAGAATTGTTGTGTGATTGTTATTGTTGTGTTTTCTGTAGTTACTGTTTTGGTTATACTTAACCATGGAGAGTACAAATGGCACAAGTGGAAGTACTGAAAGCTAGGGAACAAGTAGACGGCTTCGTAAAGCACTGAAGAGGGACGCGAAAGAAATCGTGCTCAACGTGTTCAATTATCTGAACAGAACTATGTCGCAGGGAGATGCACTCGCGCGTTGTGAAAGTATGACAGGCGTAGCAGAGTGGACCATTCACAGGGTGGTGCATGAAAAGAAGAAAACTGGAGCTACTACTGATCCAAAGTTTAATTTGAAGGGACGAAAAAGGAATCCCGTTTGACGATTCATGTGTGAAAGCGGAATTGTATGAAAAAATTAAACAGCACAAACCTGCGACCATTAGTTACGTGACTGATGAGATGGCCCGTCAATGTGGTGTCACTGTGCTGCGGTTACCGCCCTACCACTGTGAACTGAACCCAATAGAGCTCATCTGGGTTCAAGTGAAGGGTTATATTGCGCGCCATAACACAACCTTCAAATTACCAGACGTTAAGGTTTTACTTGAGACTTCCATACAGCTAGTAACGCCCGAAGCTTGGCAGAATGCTATCCGTCATGTTGTGAAGGAAGAAACAAAATTTTTGACTTACAATATGTTTCAAACCACTCTTTATTAAGCATGTGACAAATCTAGTTCACCCATGTTAAACATTCATACCCCGCCTATGAACACCGACTACTGGTAGTTAAGTGATGTTCACGTGAACATCGATGAGTCATTACAGTTTTAGATAGTTATAGTATACCTAGTTAGCAGTTTAATATTTTGCGGTTCTTTTTTGACATTATATTGTTTTTTTACGTATAAACTCTGTTGCTTTCCATACAATTGCACATAGCTTCATGTGGAATGAACGTATTGCCATGATTGGAATTGGATACTAGAGCGCAGTTGGTGAGCTATACTATACGGCCCTCAGGATATTTTCCTTTCTCGCTGGGCTTAGCTCTGTGATCCTGTTAATTTTCCCTGTTGACTCTCGATAATAAATAACACGTGGCGTCATTTGGCTGATGAATCCCAATGGAATGAGGAAACAGGCAAGGGAAAAATTGAGATTATTTTGTTATTCCTCACTCTTAGGGCCAATTTCACCCACAACAGTCCGTTATTCTCCACCTATAGGGTAACAGACCGTCAAATACAACGAATGAGCTTCAAGTTTCAATCAACAAATTTGAGCAACCAATAGCTATGAAATGTTGAAAACAAAATACTGTCAAAGAATGAGATGACAGCTTGTCATTGAAACATCACCAGCTTATTGAATATTAAGAAATTACATATAATTCAGTCAAAATTTAAAGAAATGTTGGATTTTTGAATAAAATTCATGTTTCAGTTACTGTTGTTGATTTTTGATTCATGTTTAAATTATTTTCTTCAACTGATATGCGATACTGGCTGTTTTTTCCTATAAACCTCTTGCATGTAGCCATTAAGCACCTACTTTGTGACAGGCTCTACCAAATGATATTGCTCGTTTCCAAACGTTCATTCATTTCAGCGGCCATTTTGTCAGGGGGCGACAGGGTTGCCAGATTGTGCATTAATATCCCGTTTGGTCCCAGTGGAGTAAGTTCCGCCAACTGTTGAAATACACTCTACTATGCTTTATAAGACTATTCGTGACATTTTTCCCAAAATCATTGCACAACACTTGAAAAAATGCAAATGAAAATTACCTTGGGTTATACATCTTGACAGTAGGGATGATCGATACGATCCTATATTTCGAATTATCAATACATTTCGCGAGTATCGTCATCTTTCGATCCGGACTGTGTCAGAAAGAGTGACTGCCATTTGGCTGCGACATTGCCCTGCTAAATCAGACATATCTTTCATCATTTTCAAAGAAATTGTACAAAATCTTCAAATTTATGAAGTTAGCGAGTTTAACTTCATACGTTGTTACCAGACATGCCCAAATCATCAGTTGCTGCCGTGATATTCATCCCGACCACTGCATCCCCACGGCTAGGCGACCTGTATGTTAAATTTGTATTGGTAGGGTAGCGGGTTGTGCTGTAAATCATATGTCACAGTGTTTGTGCACTTATTGCAACGGTTAGATGATACCAAAAATATTTTCATAAATAAGAGATCTTTCCAAATCCGGATCGAACAATCTACCAAAGATGCTTATAATCATGATACCTAGTCAATTTTCACGAAAAAAATTCATAACCAGCAAATGTAAAAGATTCATTTCGCACCTTCCACTACGGGACGTGATCGTCGTTAGACTTGGCAACCCTGCGAGTGATAGATAGATATCCCCGCCAGTCAAAAAGACAAACAATAAACATTACTAGTTTTTATGATTTTTGGACTATAAAGACATTATTTGTGAAACATTTTTCATAATTTTTTGTGTATGTCCATAGTAATTGCATTATGCATCAGGGTGATGTAGGGATTGACACGTCTTACACATATTATCTGTGTTTTGGGATGGAGAGGACATTTTTATTTCTTTGAAGAAATTCATTGACCCATAAATTAATAAATGATTACTATTATGACGTAAAGGAAGGTGAGGAATTGGATGGAATGTATTTTATATTCTATTTTCTTGCAAAATACAGACAAATCCACACTATTCAACAGGTATGTAATGATAACTTTCAGTATATTGAAGTTGGTAAATTCGAGAGTGCCATGCATTAACAAACGTCCAAATCTGCTGCCAAATTTAACAGCTAGAAAATCGACATATTATTTGCCGCATTCCCATTTGCTGAGGGGGATAACGGATTGTTAAATGTAAACCTATAACATATATCAAAATACATGAAAGTTGTCCTGTTTTTTCTGTACTAAAGCATCATGTTGGAATCAAAAAGTGGTCTTGTTTATAATACAGTCGAATTTTCACGATTTTATTTAATATTTCAATAGAAATCACTAATATTCAGAGACCTTTGACAGCTTCTGTCAAATTGCATTTCGATGAGGTATTTTCCCATTGGTCCATAATATTAATGTTGGTAAAATTGGGCCTTAATCTGCTAATTATAACTAGTGCTCTTTTCATTACAATTACCAAAGTAATCTAACATTTGAATCGCATGCTATGGTTTTCATGTCGATAATCCCGTTATTTTTGTCTGGCCAGTGAAAGCACATGTGTTTAAAAGTCTTCTTTATTGTATACGTTTTCAGTACAATTGACACTTTTTGCATTGGAGAACAGAGGTTTCTCGAAGATGATGGATATACTTAAAGACATCGTCAAGATTACACTGCACATGTTTATATTTTAAAATATAATCTTATATTTATTTACACATTCATTTTACCACAAAACGGAAATGACGTATGAGGTAATGAGGTTTGAACAAGTAAAATCGTCACTTAAATTTGTTCCGTATCATCTTCAAGCCCAGTCATAGTTTTCAAAAACATGCTGTAGGAAACCATTGTCTTCACGGCCTGAAAAATAAAAAACAATTTATCTTTTGACACAACTGAGATGTTCACTTAGAAAATAAAAAAATGGTTGATACGAGGGTTGTCTCAAAGATAGGAATGTCACATTTTTTCAGGCACAATTTTTTATTTGAAAAAACGTATTGACCATTTGAAACGTTGTTCTTTCAGCTATTTTTCTACATAGAAGCCATTTTTTTATGGGTGGTAACGTTTTTGCGTGCAGAAATCAGATGACCGCACGAATTTCGCACCTGGCGGTGATGGAGATGAAGGGTTCCATTGCGCGTAGCTGGCAAATCCGGTACTGAGCGTCACGAACAGGTGCTTCTCGTTGGGATCGGTGGTGGGGGAGCCGACAAATGCGACGGTGTTGTCAGATTTCGCCTAGCATCACACGCGGAAAAGGTACAGCGTTGGGAATCTTACTTTTGAGATAACAGTCGTATCTGATACGTCATAGAGTTATGTGCTACATATATTTACAAAAGAAATTTCAAATGCTAGATTTAGCAAGGGATGATACTGAGAGGAATGTCTTTGAAATCAGCTGTATTGACTTTGACTTTGGCCTATCGAATTAAGACAGCACATGGTGCCATCCATTACCGGAATCGACCACCGCGAAAGTGCAAACAACAAGCTGTCTGTTGAAACTATATACTAGTTTGCATTGTTAGCCGGGTCAACACTGTGGCCGCTAGATGCTGCCGATTCTGGTGCTATAGTACACTGCCACGCAAAATTAACCGGACAAACAGGATTTTGATCAAATTAAATTTGAAGTTACATGTTAACCTTTACATCAATTTCGTTAATTTGTTCGTTAAGTGGTAGGTAATCTCTTTGACATCATTATCGACTTCCGATCTTTCAAATAAATTGAAATTGTTTGTTGTTTATCAGGGTGTAACTGAAAGGTGCATTTCACCCTAGATTCCTGAACACACTGAGAAAACATTGGATTATTGAATAATATGTCTTCGTATGAGAATGTTAAACCTCAACTTTTCTCAGCAGTTCTTGTTTTGATTCATTCCAATATCCCAATTATTGAAGAATATAGGCTAGGTTTTGTGACAACATTGGTAAGAAAACTATGCGAAACATAACCATAAACAATTTAACTTAAAAAATTACAGTAACACCATTGGTAATTAGAAATTGTTATCAAAAACGAGTATTTCCTGTCTGAACAGATCTCAGGATCTCTGGCATAGACTCAGTTAAACCAGCTATTGTGTATTGGGGTATTTCCTCCCACTCATTTAGCAGCGCCTGTTCCAACGCAGCCACAGTTTGAAAGTCTCTATAGTTCTGCCTAAGCCTTCTTCTTAAGGTATCCCACATGTGCTCAATGGGGTTGAGATCCGGACTCCTTGGCGGCCAGTCTAGTACTTGAATGCCAACATCGTTGAGGTATTGCCTAGTCTTTCTGGCTATATGCGGCCGAGCACTATCTTGCATTAGGAGAAAATTTTCTCATATAAAGGGCATATATGAGGAACCACATGTTCATCCAAACAATCTCTAATGTACCTGTCGGCAGTAAGGTGTCTACCAAGCGCTGTCTTCTATTAACTACGTCCAATAGAGGACCTGTAGCAGGTACACAGATGATAGGTTTCCTCCTCTCACCCTTCGGCGTATGGTATCAGGTGAAACTGTGGTACCATGAACATCATCCAATCTTCGAGTAAAAACTGTAGCAGGAACTGTCCTTTCTCGAGGAGCTTGAGTTCTCAGAAACCGATCTTCAACTACGTTTGTTGCTTTCCGTGTTCCATGCCCAGGTCTTCTTGAGAAAGAACCAGTTTCTCTAAGTCTTTGTATCGCACCGAATATCGTACTGCGTGGAATGGCAAGCCTTTCTGCGATATACCGAATAGGACGAACATCATCTTGTAAGCTAGAGCTTGCGCTACTTTTTCCGGTGTCATTTTTGTTGAGTATTGCTTGACAAGGATCTTTTTGATATGCTATAAAAATTCTAACAGACACAGCCTAATTGAAACAATTGCTTACCTGGCAAAGTCTGCTTGAAACAATTTCTTGTTTACGGCTATGATTCGCATGATTTTCTTCAAAACAGCATATATTCTTCAATAATTGAGATATTGACATGAATCAATCATTCAATTCCAACATACAGTCCGCTGTTTTTACTTTCGCACTGGTCTATCTTGATAATAGATGACACTTTGTGCTGTCTTATCTCGATAGACCTTTTACTCTGAGTAGAACCAATTTGCTTGGCTTTTGTTCGCTGTGGACCGAGATCAAGCCTACACCATCTTGAAGAGTTGCCAACTAGCACGAAACAGCTCTTCATGCTTTTCCGTCTGTGGCCGAAAAAGTTATATTACTAAATTGGGTTTGGTCTGCATTACTGGTTTAGAATAAGAATATCGCTATCAATAAGCGAACCGCCCTTGATTTGGCGGTTCAGTCATAAGTGGTACGACATTTGCCGAAGACGCGGCCATGCAGTGTTGCCGATCTGAGAAATAATGTTTATAAGCTGCTACACTTATGTTTAACTGAATAAAATACAGATCTGTTCAATGTTTTTATGGTTACATCACAATGACAGACGAAATAAGTAAAGATTGGCTGCTATTGCTCTAGCATACACATGAATTGTGTAAAGGTGCGCTTACACTGGCAATTTTTTGAGAAATTATTGCTCGGCATATTTGTTTCATTGGTGTTTCAGTTTATTGTTGCATAACTTTAAGATTCGATAGAACTTATAAATTAATGCATACAGTCTATATAAACATGGGTCGAAAAATGCGTGGCTTCCGAAATACAGGGTTAAAATAGTTTTCTTTAAATATACCAAGTGACATATAAATCCGAACACCCAGTTTAAATGGTTTTATTTTAATAAAAATTTGTATAAGTACTTGATGAAGCATAATAAGTAAATGATAAAAATTTCAAAATGATTGCACTGCTTTAAAGCCCTTTGACCTTTAATAATGTGTGGATGCACCCTGATGTGCTACGCATTCTCCAACGTGCCTAGGCATGCTGAGGAGGACGTTGCAAATTGAGCAATCTCCTATCCATCATATCCCACACGTGCTCAATTGGGGATAAGTCGGGAGATCTTGTGGATTCCTCCTTTCACCACGTCGCCTTCTAACCCTGGCACGACCATCGGGCATGCCTAAACAAAATCGAGACTCGTCACTAAAGACAATACTGTTCCATTCCTGATCCCAGAGTGACCGTTGTCTGCACCACTCAAGGCGATTACGTCGGTGTTCTCGAGTTAAAGGGAGGACCCAGTGTGGCCGGTATGAAAACAAGCCAAAACTTCTCATTCGTCGGTAAACACTTCGCATGCCAATAGGTCTTCCGTGTTCTGCAAACTATTCATTTGCAATGGACCTGGTAGTGGAGAAACGGTCCCTTAAGGCCAATAATCTTAGGCGGCGATCTTCACGGTCTCTTGTTCTAAGGCGGCGTCCAGTGCCCCTTGCTCTTTGCGTACGGCCTTCTCGAAGCCGTGCCTGACAACACCAAACCACAGTGTCTACACTTCTTTGCACTCTAACTGCAATTGCCCGAAAAGAAAGTCCAGCTTCCCGAAGTCCCACTATACGGCCCCTATCAGACTCACTAAGTTGACGAAATCGTGTACGGTCTCCGTACTCTAGGCATCGTAACCGATCGTAAAGGATGTCAAGAACCAAAATCCGCCAACGTTGATTCTATACTGCGGCTGAAATATTCATTTTTAGAGCGTTAGTGAATTAAAAAAAAGCAGTATAAAAACCGGAATGTCCAACTGATAAGGCTGAAAATTTTTTCACTTGTTATTTACAGTAAGATAAATACATTCACCAACTTTTATTAAAATAAAACCATTTAAACTGGGTGTTCGGATTTATATGTCAATTTTTTTTTTTTTTTTATACTCCAACTACCACAAAGGCCTAAGGCCTAAGCACCCATTGTGTACCGTGGGGCTATGGGGGATACATGGGAAAGGGGGGACGCCACACGGACTCTGGCGAGGGAACACGTGTGCATGCAACATGCACACATTCTGGCTCCGCCTACGAGAACCGCCGGGTGGTACCTCCGCGTTCGACAGTCAGAGACCATCTACCAATCACAACATCCATGGCCAAGAGAAACATTTCTCCTGGGACGGGACTCGAACCCGCACAGCGCACGGCGGCTGATCAGGAGACCGAAGAGTCTACTACTGCGGCCACCGCTGCTGCCTAAAACAAACACACAACATCCATGGCGAAGGCGAGATTCGAACTCGCGGCCCGGCCGGCCGGCTGATCAGTAGCACGACACTCTGACCCACGCGGCCAACCGAGGTCCCCATTAGTATACTATTTGATTAAACTGAGAAGTTGTTTCCATAATAACAACAAGTAATATGTATTGACCAAAAAATCATTAGGCTAAAATGTAGTTTGTGCCACTTCTTGGCTGTAACTTGATCCCCGACGCTGATGACGCAGATCAAGTTATAAATTCCTACTGAAAAGTGTCTCAATAAGAACACCGGATTTGATTTTCAAGAAAAACACAGTTTCTATTTGAATTAAGCGAGTATTTTTATTTCAACATGAAGAGGAATAGTTGCGATTATCGTGATATATCACATCCGGTTAATGACCACCACGAAATTTCTTAAAATTCTGGATAACGTTTTCACACAACTATGACTCTATTCAACTGATTGTGGCTCGGATACACCTTCTTCTTCATATAGCTCCAGAAGACGAAGTCCATTGGCGTTAGATCGCACGATCTTGGTGGGCAATTTTGATCGACAAACCGAGAGATGACACGGTCTGGAAATTTGGTCCGCACTAACATCATGTTTTCGCCTGCTGTGTAGCAGGTCACACTATCTTGTTGGAAGAACATATCCTCCACATGAATTCTATAAAACTGGGTCCACAAAAACTCCAATCACTCCGCCACTCGCCAATGCACCCCAAATTTGTCAGTTCTGCTTATTGACGTACCCATTCATTGTACCTTATCGGAGAAAATTAATTTCTTCCAGAAATCCGCATCAGCTCCAGCGCCCAATCAACGAATTCACGGCGCTGCGCATGGTCCGTTGCAGAGTGGGTCTGGTAAGGTTCAATTCTTGGCCACGATGCCGAATGGAAGTGCCTGGATTCTCGGCCACACTTTCCCCCACTGCGGCTACATTTTCGAGGGACCGACCAGCAGCGCAACGGACAGTGGTCTTCACATTCAGCAATGCAAATTTTTTCTCAAATTTTGTAATTAAACGGCGAACTGTCGACTCATTTGGCGCATTATTGCGACCGAAAATTGTTCGTAAACTGCTTCCGCGTAATTTTCTCCATTTTTGTTTTTTGTAGTTAGTTTTCACAATAATTAAACGTTGCTCGTTTGAATACTGCTCCGTGATGTCTAATCGCGTGACATGACACCATACCATTTGTACAAACAAAAAAGGCGGATAATTCAATTCCGGCGCTCTTGTTGAGACACCCTTGAGAAGTTAACACTTTATTGTCAAACTCTAGAAAAGCATCCATGTAACCCTACAGCTTTACGCTTTTTATGACCTCTTCCATTTTATGTCCGTCTAACACACAGAATTACGCTCTCAAACTGCCATTCTGCTAGATATGACCGACGGTCTATGATATATTGAGCTTCTTTGTTGTATGATTTCTTTCTGTTATCCTAGCCTTCCATTCTACAAATACGACTTTATTTCCTCATAAAGCTGCACGTAATTTATGATAAATCGATTTAGAAGGCAAAAACAAGATATTGGGAAACTTCAACACTTACTACGCGATTAAACTACCAAACTTTATTAATCTCGGATTTAATCTATTTCGAATAACTTCATAGTCGTAGCGATATCACGAGCCAACAGAGCTGAGTTTGTCAAACGTCATGCTGATGTCAGCCCAAAAAAATAACGTATGAGTTTTCAACCAATGAGAATTTTCACAAAGACCTTGACGTCCTTTCCGAAGGGACTCCACCCTGCACAGTTGAAAAGAAGTCGTGTAGTTTTAGCGTTCAATCAAAATAATTTTTCTAGATTTATTCAAAATCCCTTGCTTCTTTTCCCTTGCGTTTCTTTCTCCAGGACTACGTCTGATATCTGACATCAAGTCCTAATAGTCTAATCATATTAGACGAAAATACTCCTGGTTTGCGAAATAATTGTAAAGGCTGATTTTTTTGCTGCAAGTTGTTCAAGGGGGTATACAAAGCATGGACACATAAGATGGGTACACCAATTTTTGTGGGAAAACCTTTTATTCGACAACAAAGAATGAGAAAACATGTTTTTTAAGATTCAATCGAAAGAAAGCGTCGGCAGAAACGAAAAGAGACCTGCAAAATGAGACCACATATAAAAAGATCCGACTAATAGCAAAAACGTTATGGCCGAAAACTGAAGCAAACTGCAGGTTTTGGCACTTGTTGGTAATGCGACGATGGTGTCTCGCAGATAATTAAAATTCTTCAGATTTGAAAGATTCGTAGGTCTTAATAATCACAACAAAATTGGAGTAGATTGGTCAAGTAGTTTTTGAGAATTTCTAATTGTTTACCCCAAAACTCCGGTTTTCCGTCCATCGCTACTAGTTTATTAAGCAATATACAAGTAGGGCATTTCATAGCTAAATACCTTGCCGATATGAATCGCCAGCGGAAGATAAATCTTATTTTTATGCAAAAACGGATGGGTTACGTTTTTTCTTCTAAACAAATTCAAACATTTCGTATTCGCAACAAAAGATGATAGACACATCCGCTTTGTTCTAAGATTTGTATAGTAATGTATTTTTTTCGAATAGCTTAGCGCATTTGTTCAATTACTCACAAATACGAAATGTTTGAATTTGTTTAGAAGAAAAAAACGTAACCTTTGTTTTTCGCATAAAAATAACATTTATCTTTCGGAACGGTTTGTGTTTCATATCAACAAGGTAAACACGTGTATTTTGCTATTAAATGCTCTTTGAAAGAACCCTGTATATTGCTTAATAAACTAGTAGTGATGGCCGGAAAACAGGTGTTTTGGGATAAACAATTAGAAATTCTCAAAAAAACTGCTTGACCTATCGACTCCAATTTTGTTGTCATTACTTATAAGTTTGCCCATAAACATTAGTGTACCCATTTTATGCGCCCATGTTTCAAATACCCCCTTGAACAACTTGCACCAATACAACTAGACTTTACAATTATTTCGGGGAAATTTGCTAATATGGTTAGACTATAATGGACTGTAAGACTTGTACCAAGAACAAAATAACAATGAGGGGAACAAGAAGAAGGAAATAAGATTTCACTTACCGCTAGTCCAGTTTGCATGTTCAAGTTGAGGAAGCCACCAATCGTAAACATGACTCTCATTTGACTTTTTCCTTGAAGTAACGTCATTGCCTTACCATATGATGCGCTGCTGCCCATATGTTCGTACCAATTGCTGTTGTATAGGCCTTCAACAAGCTTTTCAGACTGCGAACATTAAATAAATGCTTCAATGGCCTTAACATATATTTACTAATGACTATTTAATAATTTAATATTCTGTTTAGTTTCTTAAATATAGGGAAAAATTCGAGGGCATTGGGGATATTGTTCTTCAACTTTCTACGCCACTAGCGAGGAAGTATTGTAATATAATGTAAAATAATTGAGAAAATGGGATATAAGACATCACGAAAAACAATGTACATCACTTCCATCGGTCTTGAGTTTGTCGCTCTACTGTCGGTCCTTGTTCCCATAAATTCTTGGCGCGCAAGATTACCACTATGCCAACGACAAAAAAGCATGGTAGTTTTTAAAAGTTGGCTCAGTGGCAAAAAACGGAAAAAACTAAAATCGCTCAAACTTGATTTTTTGACGCTTCAGAGGCTTCAAATCATTTTCAAAAAACCTTGTACTAGTTAGATATCTGAAGGTTGGGATTGTCGGGGGTGGAGGAGGGTTTATCTCTATTTTTTGTGTTAATATATTTATACGCCTTCAGCCCTGGTAATATTAATTCTACGCACCTATTAAAGCATAATTCACATCATAGATTTCTCGGTACATTTGCCCTTCAAGCTTAGAATGATAGAGACATATTTTCAATACACGCGTCATGTTGGATTGACTTGGTCTATTTAATTATTTTGTTATGCATGTTCGTAGCTAAGTTTTTTTAAGAGCCAAGCATGATTTCCTATATTAACGAGTAATATTTTTTTTCAGATAAGCCCTCTGATAACTAACTGACAGCATACTCAACCTACAATTGGCAAAACATGACACAGAAATCAAAAATACCAAAACTAAAACACTAGTTGTACGTGACCTGCCACACCATTGCTGTTACAATAGTGTTCGTGTGGTATAGATTTGTTTGTTTGTTTCAGATTTGTTTAGCATTAATGCTACAATATCCATAATATCCATATTACACAGTATATCACAAAATATATTATGTCTTCAAGACAGTACATATTTTTATACAAAATTTCACTACTATGAATTCTGGTTTTCCATTTGATATTTTTTTAATTTCCCTTTGAACATTTTCAAACTGACACACATCTTGATATCATTACTTAATTTATTGAATTCGTACAATCTCTTTTGAAATACTGACTTGCTCGTTATATTGCTACTGCAGTTCTGTAAATGAAAGTCTATATACTTACTCTAGCAGAATAATTGTGGCACTCATTGTTGATTACAATAAAATTTTCTAAGTGATTTGGTAGGAGATGATTTTTTAACTTGAATATGTAAATGAAAACCAAGTAGGCTATGAAATTTCTGATATTTAACCATTGTAGTTCTTTCAGCATAAAATTTATTCTAGTATATTTATTTTTACTTAAGATGATTCTCATAGCTTCATTTTGTAATATTTGTAATTTTGGAAATTCATTTTCATTTGCAGTGAACAAAATAGTCGAACAATATAACAAATGAGAAAGAATGATAGTGTTGTACACAATTTTTTTAGAATAAACGCTTAGGCTATGCGAAGTTCTATAAAAGTAATTTATTTTCTTGGATATTTTTGAAATAATATATTCATAGTGCCCTTCAAATTTTAATTCACTGTCTACGTGTATGCCCAAATATTTAAATGATTCGTTTGACACAATTTTTTCATGATTAATTGTAAGATTTATCGTATTTTGATCTAAAGATTTTCCTATATTCCATATATTTTGTTTTGTTTGTGTTTAGTTTAAGTTTATTTACATTTAACCAATTTATTTCGTTTCTCATATACTTCGAAGTTGAGTCATTTATTTTAACAGTGAGTAGATCTGATCAAAAGAAATGTTTTTTCCTTTAACATTTTTCTGGTAAAATTAAAGTGACAAAGTTATAGCCCTTTAGAAGTTTGATTACCGCCCTGTCTCAATAATAATATTATGTGCTCGTGTTTGGCAACAACGGATATAATCCGCCTTATCGGTTCATCGCATCGGAAACAAAAAAGCGAGAGAATTTGAAACGCTTTTCACGATGTTTTACTACAATTCTATTCAGTCAATGTGTCAGTCGGTAACGCGTGAGTGAATAGTGGTGTTTGTTGCGTTTCTCAAACGAAATAAAAAATGGCACATGTTTACGAAAATGCTGAACTTGTGGACATGATTCTTATTTACGGGGGGGAGTCTTTACAAAATGCTGCCGCGGCATCACAGATTTATGCGGATCGGTTTCCCAATCGAGTGCAACCAACGCCTCGTGCCTTTGTTAATGTAGTACAAAGGGCTCGTGAATCAGGTGACTTAAGACCTCACAGGGGAGGGCATGCCGGTGCTCCAAGACCGCACGATCAAATACAGGTCCGCACTGAAATACTTGTCGGGAGGATACTTTATAAAACAAGGTAACATTTTTTTTTTATTTTTTTTTATTTTTACACACATATTTTGGTTTATCTTCCTTCTACAATCATTATCTGAAAATTAATGACTCAACTTCAAAGTATAACAGCTCTATTGCAGTTTCAATTTCATCACCCCAAATTTCGACCTGCTAACTTAACTTGTTCAATAAAATTGGTAGGCAAGACCTATTTGAAAAGTACCTACTGTGTATAAATCTATTTTTATTTTGTTTCATTAGTATGCTTACTTTTAAGTAAATATAAACGTATGTTACACACATTTCAGCTGCAGTGCTACGAAATTTACTTAACAACTGCCTATGACATTTATTATTTAAAAGGTGGTCAATTACGTATGTCAGAAACGATGAACCAACGATTTTACGCGGTTTCACAAGCATGCAAGTTGGCTGTCAACTTACTAATGCCATCGAAGATACAAAACGTTATCGCAACTTCATAGTATTGCTTAAAAATAATGTTTTGTGTCAGTATCGGCTAAAGCGTACGAAATCGCGGGTAACAGCTCTTGCAAAATAAAATATTTGTAGTACTTGACGGTCCTAGGTTGAGTGGAGCGGAGGCTAGCCGCGCTGTTGTCGGCTTGACGCTGACGCTGGAGATTTAGGTACTTGCCACGATACTTGATTAGAAAATCAACGATGGGTATTAATTGGTAAAATGAGTAAATCTACAGATGTTAACGTCTCTTCGTAATGTGGTACAGGCGTTATGCTGACAGACCTAAATAGGCAATTGATTGATTGATACTGCGTGACAAAAAAAAGGTAAACACCTACGTATGTTTATTAGAATTCCAGCCTGCTTCTGCCTGGGGATGCACGATGGTCGGGCAAGAATGAGAAGGCAACGTGGTGAAAGTCATGACCCACAATTTGACAGAGAGCGTCACGTTCACCACAGCGTGGAAGTTATGGTATGGGGTGCTATTGCTTATGGTACTAGATCATGACTAGTTTTCATCAGAGGCAATATGACAGCCCGATGTTACATTCAGGAAGTAGTGGAGCCTCATCTTGTTCCATACCTAAACACCATCCAACACCCGATTTTTCAGCACGACAATGCCAGACCGCATATTGGCAGAGCATCGTTAGCCTTCATGGATCAACATCGCATCAACCGCTTGACGACCACGATCGCCTGACCTATCTCCAATTGAACATGTCTAGGACACAATAGGTCGCAGGCTCTTGAATTTACAACACCCTTACGCAGACTTTAGCAGCTCTTACTCACAAAGTTGCAGTAGCCGGGAATGAGATACCCCAACAGGATATCATCACGATGCCCAGACTTGTCAGTGAGTTTATAACAAATCGTGGATCATCAACAAATTATTAAACTAGCTTCTACAGTCAGTTGACGAATCAAGCTGAAAATTTAACCATTTTACTAGAAAGAGACACTGAACACATATGCCAAAAATTATGGAAATCGGGTAAACATACGTAGGTGTTTAACCTTTTTTGTCAGTCAGTATATATACACGGTGGCCCATCCATGTGTGGACGTAATATTACTCATAAACAAATACATTTTTGGAAAATCTATTAATGGGATGTTGTACATTAGGCCACGTTTCTAAAATATTGACCATTATACAGGGTGTCCCAATTTCGACCTGCATATCAAAGTTATGATTTTTCAAATGCAATGTCTCAATGTTATGCATACTTGGATAAACCAGCTTAAAAGAAGGAAATTGATATAACGTACTATGCAGTTTTGGTAATTAGCTACTGAGGTATAAGGTATTTTGTCTCAGTTCGCCATTTTGAAATTTGGAGTGCTGAATTTTGTATAAAAAACAACTGACGCACTTCAGCTTTTATGGTATTTATTACTTTTTCGGATTTTAATTTTTGCTCATACATGGTTGCCAAAACAGCAAATTGCAGTTTTTCTCAAAAATTACAAATGCATCACCCTGTATATTAGTGCAAGTTTGGATTCAATTTTTTATAAGCTTTTTTTGATACTAGATATATAAGGACTTTCACGGCTATTTTTTCGTTTAGCATGTCTTTCATGGAAAGGCTTGATTCCCTAAAATATCGCGTCATTCTTGGAAAGAAATAAATTGTTGATTAGTTATAAACTTTCAAAACTGTCTTTGTGAGCATTATAATAAAAAGTTATCGAAAATGAATTTTTCTAAAGAAGAAATGCTGTTCGTTTTGGGCGAAGCCCAAAGAAATAGTTTCCTAGCATCTCGCAACGCTACCCTAATATTCGACATCCAAGGCCGGAAACATTTTCCACACTACGATAACGTTTTGAATCAAGTGGAGCAGTGGAATATAGTGAAAAATGTATAAATAATCGAAGTGTCACCAATGAGGCGAATCAGTTGGAGGTTGTATTAAAGTTGCAGGAAAATCCCCATTTAAGTGCACGGCAAATTGGAGCAGAAACTGATATATGCAGAACTTCTGTCCAAAGGATTATTCAAAAGCATAGGTATCATCCATATCACCTATGCTTGCATCAAGGCCTTCGTCCTCAGGAATTCGCAGCTCGAATGGAGAATAATGCTAAATAAAGCGAGTGAAGACACTACTTTCCTGGATAAGGTTCTTTTTAGCGATGAGGTAGCTTTTAACAGCATACCTGTAGGTGTTGTCAACAGCCATAACATGCACTATTTTGCAACGGAAAGTCCTCACTGAGTTAGGCAAATTGATTTCCAAAATAAATGGAGCTTGAATGTTTGGGGAGATGTTATTGGCAGACAAGTTGTCGGGCCTTTCTTTTTCGACAACAGATTAACAGGTACAGAGTACTTGAATTTTTTGATCGAGCATTTGCATTTGCTTTTGGAAGATGTCAACCTGCAAGCTCGGATGGATATGTACTTCCAACATGACGGTCCACCTGCGCATTATCATAATCGTGTGCGTAACTATTTGGACACCTGGAATAACAACCGTTGCCTCTGTCGTGATGGGCCTATGTCTTGGTCTCCTAGATCACCAGATATGACACCGATGAACTTCTTTCTATGGCGCTACGTTAAGCAAGAGGTTTATAGATATCCACCATCTACCCCGGAAAATATGAAGGAAATGATTAAGGATGCTTTTCTGAACATAAGGGAACACATGCTGAGGGATATGCAACGGTCATTTATCCAGAGACTACGGCTGTGTATTCAAGATGGATATTTTCGAGCAGTTTTTGTAGATTAGGTCTTGAGTAGTGATAGTTTAAGTTTGTTTAAGTTGTTATAGTTGTTTTCTACATCATACCAAAAAAGAGCTTATAAAAAATTGAATCCAAACTTGCACAGATATGCAGGATGATGCATTTGAAATTTTTGAGGAAAAGTACAGTTCACGTTTTTGACCACCCTGTATGAGCAAAAATTTGAGGCATTCCATTTAAAAAATCACAACTCTGATATGTAGGTCAAAACTGGGACACCCTGTTTAATTGCAAATATTTTCGAAATGTGCCCTCAAACGACATGTATAACATGCCATAAATAGATTCTCCCAAAATGTATTTGTTTATGAGTAATATTCCGTCCACACATGGATGGGCCACCGTGTACATAAAAAGAAGATACGAGACTGCATAGCAGCTAGAGGAAAATTAAGTGTACCAAACCCGCTCAGCAGTATTAAAGATTATATGTCAAATAAAATCCAATAACTATTTATTCACAATAATACTCGTATACTCATACTTCAAATAAAACAAAACACCAAATAAATCTGAATCAAGACGGTCACGCCTATAAAACGAGTGCAGCGACTGGACACACACACACACCCTCCTAGCCTGTGCAGTCCCTCTACCACCCCTGTTCCAGGCAACCTCAAACCCTTGAGGAGTGGGGGGAAGAGCAATCTGCTCCTCCCTCCTCTTCCGCCCGAAGGCGCTGCGTGGTTCAGGCCGCTGCGCATTCCCCGAGTGTGTGCTGCCGAACGAGCTAACCCCCCTCCCCAATTTTGCCCCTTTTTCCCGAAATTTGACTCTTTCGCGCACGCGTCGCGGAAGCACGTGGTGGACGTTTCATCCAACTGTCGGTTCTCGACTTTCATGAACGGCCTCTTTCTTGGGGGTCCTGCGCTGGGGGCTTTGACCTAAGCCCCGCATTAAGGTTGGTGAGCCTTCGCTCTTTCCTCGTCGATTGGAGTCAGTCAGTCTGTCGACAATCAGTCATTTGCTGTTTGTCTTCGTCTCCTGAGGTTAGCCCCGAGTCCGTGCTTGACTCTGGCCACCTCAATCGACAGGCTTCTTTTTGTCCACCCGTTGTACACGGGCTGTTCTTTCCCGTCTTGGGTGTACAACTATTGTCGGTCTTCTCCCCTTTTCTTTGGCCTCATCAGCTGCTAGTGCCAAATTTCTTCTTGTTGCAGCTGGCTTTTCGGTCTTTTATGACGCCTTATTGTTCTTGGGTCGTAATCCAAGGCGTCTTTAATCAGCACATTTCGATGTCTTTCGGGCCCTCTCTCTCATCTGGATTACGACCGCTACCTGTCGTAGTTCGTCATATAGCACTCTTTTAGGTACATACCACGGTGCGTCCTCCGCCTCATGGAGTGCTATGTTTTGTTGAGCTTGGAGCCTCTTCTTCATCGTTTAGGGAACGTAGCCCCAAGCTACTGCTGCGTAAGTCATGATTTGGAGCAGCATCATCTGAATCATGATGGTCTTATTCTTTAAGGACACTTTGCTTCTTCTGCCTATTAAAGGTGTTAGTTTGGAGCGTGCCATCTTCACATTCTGCACCTGGCCCTCGACATGATTCTTCCAAGTGAGTTTTTGGTCCATCTTGACTCCAAGGTATGTGCTGGAGTCCTTACAGTCGACCTCAACTTCTTCGTCTCTTCTCTCGATTCTGGTGGTCGTCATCTTTATGTTGGTTTGAGGTAATCTTCGATTTCTTCGGAACAGTACCGCTTCGGTCTTCTCAGGGTTGAGACGGATCTTCCACTTGGTGCACCATTCCTCTAGGTTGGTAGTCGCTCGTTGCAGATAATCAGTGACTGGACGATGCGAATTCCCTATTTATATACTCTTACTCACTTTAGTCGGACCAGCAACTGAGCGCTTCCGCGCAACACACCTCAGGTTAAATTCCATTAAGCCATTTGGAATGAGGTCCGCATAAAGGTATTTCCCCGGACAAAAGTTTTTTCCATTCAAATCTGTACAGCCAGCTGCAACAAGAAGAAATTTGGCCCTAGCAGCTGATGAGGCCAAAGAAAAGGGGAGAAGACCGACAATAGTTGTACACCCAAGAGGCGAAAGAACAGCCCGTGTACAACGGGTGGACAAAAAGAAGCCTGTCGATTGAGGTGGCCAGACTCGGGGCTAACCTCAGGAGACGAATGACTAACAGCAAATGACTGACTGACGACGACTGACTGACTCCAGTCGACGAGGAAAGAGCGAAGGCTCACCAACCTTAACGCGGGGCTTAGATCAAAGCCCCCAGCGCAGGACCCCTAAGAAAAGAGGCCGTCCATAAAGTCGAGAACCGACAGTTGGAAGAAACGTCCACCACGTGCTTCCGCGACGCGTGCGCGATCGAGTCAAATTTCGGGAAAAAGGGGCAAAATTGGGGATAGGGGTTAACTCGTTCGGAAGCACACACTCGGGAAATGCGCAGCGGCCTGAACCACGCAGCGCCACGCCAGGCCTTCGGGCGGGAGAGGAGGGAGGAGCAGATTGCTCTTCCCCGCACTCCTCGAGGGTTTGAGGTTGCCTGGAACAGGGGTGGTGGAGGGACCGCACAGGGTAGGAGGGTGTGTGTGTGGAATGAGGTCCGCATAAAGGTATTTAACCGGACAAAAGTATTTTTCATTCAAATCTGTACAGCCATTTTGACGTGAGTAACAAACATTTATAGCTTCATATTAATGATATTAATATTAGTATGGCCTAAACTTTTTTAACAATAGCGAAAAACATACTTTCCAGACAGGGTTGAAATGGTTTCGAGAAACGGTTGTTTTTGCAAAAATCAGTAGCTTACATTTTTTTGACAAGCTTGGGATCCGGAACCATGTTTGTATGAGCTTTCTGCATACCTTAACGTATATCCGATAGCAGAGCTCTCGTATACATACAACTAGGACTTTGCGTACACGTCTGACGCAATTCGACCGGAATAATTATGATAATTATGTTAATCACAATTGCCTAAACTGCGTTGTAACTATTATATAAGCATCGTATATTACAAATCAAGCTCAATTCAGATCATAATACAATTAGTGAGATATATTACCTCGTCAATTAAAGCTTGAGCAGGGATGCAATAACAAATGAAGAATTCGAAAAACATCAGTGCTGCATAGACCACTGCTCGAATGATTTCCTGGAAAGTGTCCCTGAAATATCATTTGAAATAATTTTAAATCTGATATTTTTCTATACAAAAGGACTGTACTATGTAGAAGCAATTGTTCGTATCGTATCGCCACTTGATTTTCAGAAGATTCCACGAAATAAAATGTTTCCTTTAAACAGATATAGTGCAGTAAATACAGGGTGACTTGAAAGTTGGGACTTTCTTTACCAGAAACTACGTTTGAAACGTAAAAAAGAAATTGAACAAAAATAATATTTAGTTGATGGAACATTAATATGAAGTAAAACCCTGTTACATTTTTATTTGTAATGGCTGCGTGATGTTGTCGCTGTTCAATTCAAAAGCACGTTTCGTAAAATTACGACGTTCATGTCCATCCAGGATATTGAACACGTTCACAATAAACTAACATCAAAATAGTAACTGCGTTGCTGCTCTAGGAACGTGCTAATATCGATTTTCAGGTGCTGCTTGTTTGTAGGTTAACATGCACACCGCGCGGCGCCTGATTTGGATACTGACTCACATGGTCATAGTACCACAGATCATCATACCCTTGGACGTAGAAGGGAGGGAGGCAGGGCCAGAATGACTTTTTCGGAACTTAATATTTTGGTTATCTTAAGGCTTTGTATACAGGGTGGCGCATTTACTGGCAGCTCAGTTTTTTTTTGAAAAAACGCTCAGACCTGTCGATTTTGTTTTCGAGGGGGACACAAGTTTGGCAAAAAATCACGTTAACGCCCCTTGGGCGGGGGTGACACCAACCCTAAAATCTTAAATGGAAATATATATATATATATATATATATACCTTATTTTAAAGGTCTTTCAATTCCCTTTATAATAATATAAAATACATAAGCTTCAGTTCAGTAGTTTTGAAGATTTATTGATTTAAAGCTTAAAGTATACTTTAATAGGCACATAATAATAATAAACGTTTATTTCCAAATAGACTGAGTATATAAAAAATAGCCAAATACGGGCGAATTTCAGCTGTAGCTGCTCTTCCACTTAACCCGCATCAGATTAGTTTGTACTACTTTCAGAAAAAAATTGACTAAAAGAATTTACTTGATAAGTAAATGCTTTTCTTCACTACGCCCATGGTTTCTTTATCATTTTGTTGTTGAAGATAGCTATTGGAGCGTTTTTTTGTGGCAAAAAAAGTTATTTCTTGAAGAAAGATAAGGAAATATCTCGTACTTGTTTTAAATAGGAATTTATTACATAGTTTGCGATTGATTTGATCAAACTTTGTTGCTAAAATAACTTGTAACGCTTTATTACATAAATTAACCATGGTATATTCCATAGCAGAAAGAGTTGAAATTATCGAAACATTTTTCAGAAATAATCAGTGCGCTAATAGAACAGCAGAAATATTTAATGAGCGACATGAGAACAGTAACGTGCATCGAAAATATGTTCTAGAACTTGTAGCTAAATTTCGGGAAACTGGGTCAGTCGCCAATAAAAAAAGCAACATTGAAAATCCTATAAGGAACGAAGCAGTGGAAGTGGGGGTTTTAGGGTAAGTTTATGTAGATACTACGTTAAGTACCCGCAAATTGGAGACTGTGTGTGGTGTTAGTCGACGTACTGTCCAACGTATTCTAAAGGCCCATAATTTTCATCCGCATAAAATTCCCTGGTACAAGAACTTAATGAAGACGATTTTGATCGGCGATTACAATTTTGTGAAGGTATAATTGAACGAATTATAAACGATGAACATTTTTTATTCAACACTTGCTTTTCCGACGAATGTTCCTTTTTCTTAAATGGCGTAGTAAATCGTCATAACTGCCGATATTGGTCCGATTCTAATCCCAGAATTTATCATGAGGTTCATACACAGCAGCCACAAAAATTAAATGTTTGGGCTGGTATTTTTGGCGATCATTTAGTCCTTTTTTCTTACCTGGAAATTTGACCTGTGCAATGTATTTGGAATTACTGGACGACGCCATAGATCCTGCATTAACAGCCATAATTGAAAATCAGAATGGTCGGTGGTAGATTGCGAATAGGTTGATGTTCCAACAGGATGGTGCCCCACCACATTACCCATTACGTGTTCAACAATATTTAGATCAGACCTTTCCAGATCGATGGATTGGTAGAAGAGGTGCCATTGACTGGTCCCCAAGATCGCCAGATTTATCACCTTTGGATTTCTTTAGGTGGGGTCATTTAAAAAGCAAAATCTATGCTACTCAGCCAACATCATTAGAAGACCTGCGACAAAGAATTGTGAATGAGTGCCTTCAAATTACTCCTCAAATATTGCAAAATGTGCGGCAACGTTTTGAGCAAAATCTTTATTATTGCATGGAGAGTCATGGTGGCCATTTTCAACATTTACTTGCCTAACGGGTCAATTAATTCTTCATTTTTAAATTACTTTGCTGTCAAATGTATTGATCTCCACTAATGATGATGTATTAGTTTTATTTAAGCTTTAAATCAATAAATCTTCAAAACTACTGAACTGAATAATTTTATATCATTATAAAAGGAATTGAAAGACCTTTAAAATAAAGTATCACTCGACCCCCCTTTCCATCTAAGATTTTGGGGGTGGTGTCACCCCCGCTTAGGGGGCTGCACGTGCTAACGTGATTTTTTGCCAAACTTGTGTCCCCCTCGAAAACAAAATCGACGGGTCTGAGCGTTTTTCAAAAAAAAAACTGAGTTGCCAGTAAATGCGTCTGTTTCGTTTTCGATGCGCCACCCTGTATGTGTTGCTAGGAAAATTTGCCAACTACTGCCTTGTTTATCCGCTCTGTAAAGGAAAGTTCCAACTTTGAAGACAGTTAATAAAAATCATAAAAATACATCATGGAAAAGATATTCCCTATCAAAGTAGCGCGAGTTTCCTAGTTTTCCAATTTTCGAAGAAATATTGCAGAAAGGAGCTGTATCTCACTAAATAATTAGTGCTAAAACGTGCCAAAGAGGAGGTTATATGTAATTCCGAAGCGATACTTACATAGTCATAGTGTAGTACATCTCTAGGCACAAAATCAATACAACAATTCCAAGATACATGAGCACTACCGTTGAGAAGGTGTTATTTATGAGAGTCTTGAAACTGTAAAGTAAAAAACATTGGGCTAGTATGTCTGAATGTTTCGACATCGGAAATGGTCAACGAGAAGTTTTATAACTTTAGACGCGTAGCGTCGTAGAATGTAATATATAAAATAGACCTTGCCTGCGGGAATACCGCATTCAGCACTGTTAAATGTGGAATTGGAGAACATAAACGCAATATGACAAAGAGATAAATGTCAAATTCAGCTCTAAGCAATTGTCTTTCTAGTTCTTCATTTCATTTCTTTATTGATGCTTAATAGACTTGCTTGCTTACACATGTCAAAGTAGAATTTAAAATATAAAAGTGAAAATTCACAAAACGATAGCATTTGATGTTTCCTCAGGTTACACCCGTATCCGGATATGTGGGCATGTGTATCTACTTTTGTAGTTTCATATATGCATTTATTTCGGGCCTGATGAAGCCAACCAGCAGAAATACGTATCGCTCGGGGTACCTATCCTATTTTCTGCATCGAATGCACTTTCCTCCTTTTTGCGGATTTTGCCCATTATTTTCCTACTTTTTGTTATATACCTTTCTCCGCATGATCATTTTCTCTTTGTAGATCATTTGGGCGTGAAAAACTACAGCAAGTGGCTATAACCGGCCGCGTGGTTGTGGTTAGATGTCTCCTTGAAAATTCGAGGTCTTCTAGCCATTTTATCCTACAATGTGTAGGTTGGCTCTTGTTGTGGACTTCGTGTGTCGTTTTTTCCCTCTCCATCTTCGTTTCCTCAGGTTACACCCGTATCCAGATGTGTGGACATGTGTATCTACTTTTGTAGTTTCATATGTGCATTCATTTCGGGCCTGATGAAGCCAACCAGCAGAAATACGTATCGCTCGGGTTACCTATCCTATTTTCTGCATCGAATTCACTTTCCTCCTTTTTGAGGATTTTGCCCATTATTTTCCTACTTTTCGTTATATATATGCCACAAAATATTCGATTTTACATCACGAACATTTCCAACCCGTCTTAAAAATTAGTTACGTGGTGTCAAACTGAAATTAATGGACACAACAGGCAGCCGATTCGGTTTGGACTGGCTCATTCAAGGTAGAAATGTTTTCTTTTTGTTATCAGTAAAAGCCGTTTTCAAACATTATGTCGATTATTGGCGTATTCAAAATGGAGTGCTACATGATTAGCTATACTGAAAATGACGTATCTCAATCCTTCTGAAATGTTGCGCAATCATTAAGCAACATGCGCAGCGGCGCTATAGCCTAGCACAGCAACCCTCTGTTGCGTGAGTCAGTGGACTACACAGTCGAGCAAGTTCGCAAGCACAAAAGGCCGTGGCTCGCACTGTACACAAAATTAATTCGTGAACTTAGAACAACCAAATTTAGAGCATTTTGACAAAATCTTTAGAAAGGATCGAATATGTTTAGGTACCATATCAAAAACTGTGAAGTGATTTTAACAATGCCTAAACGCTGCCTATCCTAAAAGATTCTCTTCTTCCCCTTTGCTCTCGTTCGTCCTTCTCTCCTGTCCTCCCCTTTTTTCCTTAAAATTGTCTGGTTTCTGGGTTACCAGACCTGACAGACTTACAAACTGACACTGTGACTCAAGAGAGAAATTGTGGCGATTTATTGACTCAAAAGTGAAAAGAAAACATTATCGGCAATTCGAAACTCTAATGTAAAAGTCTATAGTTTGCTGACGGAAAAACGAAATTTTGGGAACCTTTGCCGGGCTCACTTAAGGCCGAATTTACTATCCGGAAATCAAAATTTGTTCACTCAGAATTCTCCAGTTAGAAGTCGCGTTCCTGCTCTTACCGCACCAACAACGAAAGTTAATACTAATGTTATAAATATGAAAGTATTTATGTGTGTTTGTATCTTTCGTTTTCATGCCAAAACTGATGAACCGTTTTCAATGAATTTTAGCATATTTACCGGGGTTTCGAATTAGACTCTCACCATTGGGATCTCGAAAACTTTAAGAGATACGAAATGAAATGATACGATGAAAAAATCGGATTTTTTCATTTTAATCTTTTTCATTTTCATTTGTAGCGGGATTTCGAAACAAATTAAAATTTCAATATGATGTTTCATCTCTTGTCCGCTAGTATCAATTTTATTTATTTTATCTGGTTTTTGTACAGCTAAATAGAGTTTTTAATTCTGATTCCAAAAATGTATAATATGTCATACACTGAAATTGCCAAACCATGGTTATTTCAAAAAAAGCAGAATCTTCTAGATAGCCGTTGGAATTATACTAAGTGACATATAAATCCGAACAGCCAGTTTAAATGGTTTTATTTTAATAAAAGTTGGTGAATGTATTTATCTTACTATAAATAACAAGTGAAAAAATGTTCAGCCTTATCAGTTGGACATTTCGGTTTTTATACTGCTTTTTTTTAATTCACTAACGCTCTAAAAATTAATATTTCAGCCGCAGTAAAGAATCAACGTTGGCGGATTTTGGTTCTTGACATCCTTTACGATCGGTTACGATGCCTAGAGTACGGAGACCTGTACGATTTCGTCAACTTAGTGAGTCTGATAGGGGCCGTATAGTGGGACTTCGGGAAGCTGGACTTTCTTTTCGGGCAATTGCAGTTAGAGTGCAAAGAAGTGTAGACACTGTGGTTAGGTGTTGTCAGGCATGGCTTCGAGAAGGCCGTACGCAAAGAGCAAGGGGCACTGGACGCCGCCGTAGAACAACAGACCGTGAAGATCGCCGCCTAAGATTATTGGCCTTAAGGGACCGTTTCTCCACTACCAGGTCCATTGCAAATGAATGGTTTGCAGAACACGGAAGACCTATTGGCATGCGAAGTGTTTACCGACGAATGAGAAGTTTTGGCTTGTTTTCAAACCGGCCACACTGGGTCCTCCCTTTAACTCGAGAACACCGACGCAATCGCCTTGAGTGGTGCAGACAACGGTCACTCTGGGATCAGGAATGGAACAGTATTGTCTTTAGTGACGAGTCTCGATTTTGTTTAGGCATGCACGATGGTCGTGCCAGGGTTAGAAGTCGACGTGGTGAAAGGAGGAATCCACAATTTTTTAATCTTCACCTGTAATCTTCATCAGAGGTAACATGAATGTGCAGCGTTATATCCACGAAGTTCTAGAACCCCATCTTTTACCCTATCCTGACACCCTGGCAGATCCAACTTTCCAACAAGATAATGCCCGACCACATGTTGCAAGAGCCACAATAGACTTCTTTCAACATAATGATGTCACATTGTTACCATGGCCACCAAGATCTCCCGACTTATCCCCAATTGAGCACGTGTGGGATATGATGGGCAGGAGATTGCTCAATTTGCAACGTCCTCCTCAGACTTTAGAAGCACTTCGAGAGGAGTTGGTGGTTGCCTGGAATGAGATACCACAGGAGGACATTGACCACCTGATCAGAAGCATGCCTAGGCGTGTTGGAGAATGCGTAGCACATCAGGGTGCATCCACACATTATTAAAGGTCAAAGGGCTTTAAAGCAGTGCAATCATTTTGAAATTTTTATCATTTACTTATTATGCTTCATTAAGTACTTATACAAAATTTTATTAAAATAAAACCATTTAAACTGGGTGTTCGGATTTATATGTCACTTAGTATATTACCTAGTCGTTTGTTTCACACACCAGATATACCCCAAAGTCATTCTTATTTTTTCGTGACTTTATTTGAGATGGGAATTCAAAATAAATTGCATGTTGTCGTTGTTATTCATTATATTCTACAAAATGGCGTAGTCAAATTTTCAATACCAGATTTCTTCTTTCGACTTCCATCACCAACTTTGTTTTTTCATATGGACTTTAGTTTGAATTTTATACATTGAAATGGACTTTTCTGTCCCAAATTTCTAAGGCAATTCCTTAGTTGGTCATGAATTTGTTGTATGAACGAAAACTATGAGGAAATAAGGTATGGTGAAACCTGCACAGGAAATAAAAATTTTATTAATAGTGATATCAATAATAATCATAGACGGTCAGAGGTAAGTCATAGTAGATGTTCAAGACCTTGTCCGTTATTTAGTAGGCAAGGCCTGGCTCATCTTTGTACATTGCTCATTGCTGGATGTATTTTCTCAATCCTCCAAAATCTGTTACTATGTTCAATTTGAGGTCTAGTCTGGTATACGAAAATGACTATACTATAATTTCAAGGCCTACCTAGGAAATTCCGTTTTTCAGATATAATTTAGGTTTGGCAATTTCGATGTATGACATTATACATTTTTGGAATCGGAATTATGAAATGTATTCGCCTGTGGCCAGTATCAATATGGCGCCTTTAAGAGAAAACTAAGTTGTTGCCGGAGGTTAATAGACGAAATGTCATATTGAAATTATGCTTATGCCATTTTGTAAAGAGAAACGAGAAAAATGATTTTGGGGATTTTTTGCCGTTTCTTTCCGGAAGTACTTTGAATTTCGAAACTTTCTAACCGAAATTTTGTTAGTTTCCTAAATACGGAACTTTGCCCCCATTTAAGTGACCTCATATTCCTTAGCGTCTCCTAGATCGCAATGGTGAGGGTCGAATTTGAGACACCTTGTATACGAGCCCCTTCCCACTTCCGTTGGCCCAACTATTGAAGTCTTAGTTTTTTTTTCTTATCAAACACAAATAATAAAAATGTAGCAGGGTGTTATAGGTTTAAAATATTAACAATGAATATTTTGATAATATATAGTCGAAAACACCAACTTTATCACTCCCTAATCAAATTTGCAGCATAAAAATAACACATGTTGAAATTACAGCATATCAACCTATTTTCGTTTCAATGCAAAATAAATTTATAGCGCATAGGTGGCTGTGAAAAATAAAAGCCATGACAATTGTTTTTATTAACCACAGCTGTCAGAATACGTTTAAAATAGTTTTGGGTAGTTAAGGTTTTCAAAATGGGTAGAGGAAAGGTTATTAGTGAGAAAATTCGGTTACTGATAATTGAATTTTTTAATTCTGGGAAATCAAACTCAGAAATTGCAACTTTGTCAGACTTATCGCGGTACAGTGTGAGAAATATTGTTAGAGAATATAACGTAACTGGTTCAGTTAATATTAAGCCACGATATGTGAAAAAAAGTAATATCACAAATGCCGACCGAAGAGCATTAAGAAGAATAATCGTGAAAAACGGCCGTGCCAATTATTTACAATTAAGTGTTCTGTGGAGTGACGTTATTGGAAGGAGAATTTCGAGGTCCACAACTCATAGAGAGGCCCACAAACTGGGATTTAGCACTTGCAAGGTAAGTTTTCTTATAAAAAAAGGGATGTAAAAACCCTGAAGTTGCACAACTTGTTTATAGGCCAAAGAAAAGCCACTATTAACTCCACTGCAAAAGAAAAATCGGCTTAGATGGGCTAAAGAACAAAGACTCCTCAACAACGGTGTGCAATACAATGGAGTGATGATGCCCGAAGTTTGTGTTGGTGACAGTTGCAGTAGAGTTATTCGCAAGTAAATGAAGCATTCCATGTTGACTGTCTGAAGAGAAAAGTGAAATTTCCAGCATCCGTTATGGTCTGGGGCAGTATGTCATCAAAAGGAGTAGGAAAACTTCATTGTATTGATGGAAATGTGGATACAAACAAATATTTGGCCATTTTTTTTTTAGAAGAATCGCTTTTACCAGTGATGGAAGAATGTTTGACATGCGGCCAAGATTTTGTATTTCAGCAAGATGGTACAGCGTGTCATACCTCAAAATGGATGGAAGAAGGTTCTACGACAACATCCTGCTCGTACAATCACCGAACTGAGACAAAAGCTTCAAGGCATTTGGGATTGTTTTACACCAAATTTTTGCCAAAACTTGTTTAACACTATGCCCCAAAAAATTGCAGCCGTAATAAAAAATACAGGTGATGTTACCCAAAGGTAATCTTTCAATTTTTGCTTTGTTAACTTCGCGCATTTATTCGCACATTGTTTATTTATTCAGATATTCTATTAGTTATATGTCTAAGTGATTTCAAATATGTATTTTTTACGACTAGAGTATATCTAAAATGTTTTTGAGAAAATAAATTGTTTTAGAAGTAAATAGCTTCGTCATGTTTAGTTTATAAAGGCATATTTTGGTACAAATCTTGAAGTGGGCCAACTGTAGTGGGAAGGGGCTCGTATATGCTACTTTTTATTGTGAAAATTTGTCTTGAAGGGGTTGAAATAGGGTTGAAAACTAGTATGAGGAAACTATTATTTTTGAAAGCTAGGTTCACAGACATGTGTTTCATATGATCGGTTTTTTTGATAGTTGGGCATTTACAAAGGAACTTTGTAAATTTCACCCTTAAGGGCGTGCACTTACCGCAGCAAGAACGAAAGTTGATCGTCGCACTTTCCAAACTGAGCCTTTATTGTAAAGTAATCTCCTGCGAAAATGTTGTTCATCTCGTACGCCAAGAGCTTAAACTGTATAGCAGTTAGTGATACAATGCTAAATACGACGAAATCCATCGCAACTTCGAGTAGCATAAGGCAGTAACTGGGTACGTGCATCCACAGCAATAAAGCCCAGAATGGGATGCCCTCTGGTACATTCGATTCAAATATCAAGTTGCCTCCTTCAGCTGTTCTGGAAAAAGAAATTTGAAACACATTATATAGGATACAGTAGCTATTGCAAGTGCAAAAACAGACTTTTTTTCGCTACTAACCTGATAAATCACCATTATTAATAATAATAATTAACGTCTTTTATTTGTAATATTAAAAAGATTTTGTTGAAAATTAATAGGCACCTGTATACAATAACTACAGAATAAAGTGTAATCCAAGTAAATCTCTACGCTCCGCTACGTACAGTACGTGTCACAAAACCTGCTGCGTCCTGGCTCACTCCTAACTTGAAAATGATTTTTCAACTCAGAGATGAGGCATTCGCTGTCTATCAGCATAACAGATCTGAACAGAATTGGGCCAGCTACAAAGATTTGAGAAATTATGCCCTTGCATCGCTTAGAAGAGAGAAAAAAGCATATATGTCACGTTTCCGGAATCTTAACTCTAGTCAAGCTTGGAAACACCAGAGGAGAATGAATGTGGTAGCCCAGAAACATGTTGCGATACCTCCCAGTCTCCTTGAGCCTAACATTTTAAATCATTATTTTTTTTTCAATTTTCCAGACAGCTGCAGCTGATCCAAATTTGATTGATAGTGTCTCTAACTGTTATAGCGATAGACGCCATACACCGGATGCACCTCTGTTTGCTTTTAAACTCCTTACTCAGCAAGACATCGTCAATATAATCTCTCACATTAAGTCTACGGCATGAGGCTCTGATGGTCTAACTTTAAATATGGTTTGCTTATGTTTGCCTGATACCATAGTCCATATAACTCACATTATTAATGTCTGTCTCGAAACAGATCACTTTCCTGCCAGTTGGAAAAATGGTATCATTATTCCAATAGCTAAAACTAATCATCCAGAACAATATTCGGATCTCAGGCCAATTACCTTATTATGCTTTCTATCAAAAATACTCGAAAGAGCTGTCTACTCACAACTAGTGGAGTTTTTCGAACAAAATCACTTATTTCCTCTACATCAGTCAGGTTTCAGAGCTGGTTACAGCACTACTTCGCCTCTATTACATCTTACTGATTCCATCATTCACAATTTAGACAATCACATCAACACCGTCTTGGTACTGTTAGATTTCTCGAAAGCCTTTGATATGGTCAATCACCAGATACTACTGAGTAAGTTATCTCATTATGGAATGTCAGATATAGTTCTAAGGTTCTTTGAGTCATACATGCTAAATCGTCAACAAACAGTGAAAACTGATCAGGGAATTTCCTCCTCTGAGCCAGTTCCTTCAGGAGTTCCTCAGGGCTCAGTATTAGGTCCCTTACTATATCTGATTTATACGATCGATCTGCAAGACTGTTTAGTCCACTGTAGTATGCAAACCTATGCAGATGATACTCAGTTAGTGTTTGGTTTCGATCCATCAGAGGTTGATGAAGTTACTTTAAAGTTAATTTAGATTTGGCTAACATCGGTGATTACTGTAACAAACACTGCTTGAAGATCAATCCCAATAAAACTACTGCAGTGTTGTACTGTTCGAAGAACTCCTACCGTGAAATGAAGCAGAGGATTTGTGTTTTTTTGGATGAGACACTCATCCCTTTTGTGGATTACACCAAGAATCTCGGTGTTACCCTTGATTTAAATATGAGATTCGATCGGCATGTCTCTTTCTTATCTAGAGTAACGTATTTGGGTTTGAAACTCCTCTATTCTAATCGATACATCTTGAATTTTAAAACCCGAAAAAAGCTCGCTGAAAGTCTTGTGTTGTCTGTCATTTCTTACTCTCTTGTTCTGTATTACCCATGTTTAGACTACGTCCACAAAAGGAAACTCCAGAAAATTCAGAACAGCTGTTGTAGGTTTATTTTTGGATTGCGCAAGTTTAGTCGCGTCTCAGATAAAATCAAAGAACTCAACTGCATGCTGCATGATTTTACCTCTGTCTCTAAATCTGAGATATATAATGAAAATAATAGCGGTCCTAAGACTGATCCCTGTGGTACACCAGAACAAATATTTTATTCCGTAGAGATTTAGACGAACCTTTTGTTACCGATTTTCAAGGTAGGTTTGAATAAACGATAGAGGTTTTTCAGAAAATCCATAATAACTGCATTTAGATACAAGAAGTGAGTGATTAATGGTGTCAAATGCTTTAGTAAAGTCAAGAAGTATGAGAGCTACTGCTTTTTGGTTATCAGGTGCCATTGTTATATTGTCTGTTAAATCACAGAGTGCCGAAGCTGTATTATGACCTTGTCGAAATCCAGATTGTTTAGATGGAATAATTTTGTTAGAATATAAGTAGGCGCAGAGCTGCTCGTAAACAACGCGTTCCAATACTTTAGAAAAAATTGGCAGTAGACTGATGGGTCTCAGTTGACCATAGTTAGTAGGATCAGAACATTTAGGTAGCGGAATAACTATAGCGCGTTTCCACTGATTGGGGAAATTCCCCCTCTCTAAACAGCAGTTTATAATATGGTCCTTGCTTAGATGTATTTACTAAGGATAAACTCCAAAAAGTGCAGAATTCTTGCATACGACTTATTTACCAGCTTAGACGTCACGATCATGTGAGTCATAAACTTTCCGAACTGAAATGGTTGAATGTTTCCAATCGAGAAAAGCTGCATTTTGCTTGCTTTCTTCATAAATTGATTAAAACTAAAAGCCCTCCATATCTGTTTGAAAAATTAACTCGTAGAAATCTGATTCACTCTCGTGCAACACGCTTTAATGTACTTTATGAAATACCTAAAATAACTAAAACCATGACTCAAAGCTCATTTTCCTGTACATCAGTCAAACTTCTAAACCAATACAATATAGGTCAATTTGAAGATATGTCTCCTAATATGTTCAAACGAAAACTGAAACAACTGCTTCTGTGAAGTATAAGTTGTTTATTATTGCTTATTTTCTTTGTATACGTACATCTGTAGTTATTATTGATCATTGTTGTTATGTAATATTCTAAAATTAATGTAATGTAAAACTTGTTTCTTGTCATATTACTTTTCTTTTTGGCTTGTTGTTACTTTTTACATGCTCGGTTAAGTTAACAGCATAGCTGGCCTTCGCCGAGTTTAAAATAAAGGCGTTTTTATTTATTTATTTATTATATGCGTTAAGTACACATCAATTTCAGATATACATAGTAGTATCATATGTAAAGTTATTCCATCTGTACCACTAGAATTTGATTTTATTTATAATTTTAACAACGGTGTCAATAGTCACTGGATAAATTGAAATCTGAATTTTGAGTTATTTTTATTAGCTCGGTAATATGTAATTTTATCAACACAAGCCAAATCACTATTCTCGAAAATTGAAATGAATGCCTCATTTATTTTATACGGATCTGACAAGCTCACGGAAATTGTAGAATCTTTCTGAGATTGTACTTTGAAAGTCTTTAGGGTCTTATAAAACTTTTTTATATCCTGATTTTGAACAGCTTGTAAATAATCTCTTTTTCCTTTTTGCACGAGCGTTAATGCACGACTTCTGAAATATGTATACTGTTGCCAAGAGGCGGCTGTACGATCACGTTTGAACGTTGACAAAGCTTCAGCTCTCTGCTTGAATACAAGTTTAATATTATCATCCAACCAAGGAGCTGGAGCTTTGTTTACACTACCTTTTTTGGACAGTGAACATTAGATAAACATAAAATACTATCTGTTAAAAAGTTAATTTTATCTTCAATGTCATCTATCGATATAATATGCCACCATGGAAACCTCTTGAGATCTTGTTCAAACGCTACTTCATTTAAACTATGTTACAAATTTCTGTTGATTGATTATTGACGGCAATGCATTATTAAGAGAACGCATTCCTCTCCTTTGGGTAAATAATAATTTCATTGCCATTTGAAAACTAAACTTTATATTTCAAAATATTTTAGAACGATTGAATAACTCAAGGATCGACGTAATGTGTAAAAAGGCTTTTTAAGATTTGTACCAGTCAAATCTGATGGCTGTTACATTCATTAATTTGAGTTAACTGGGTATTTTAAAGTAGGCAAAATCGAACATTTTGTCCCATTTTAATCTCCCCACCTAAATACTTCGTAAACTGCACATTCTAGGGAAAATGGTTTCGAGAAAGCAAAATAATGGTGTCCTTCATAGTAACCTTGACTACGATAACCATAGTCATTACAAAGTCAGGCAAATATTTTAAAAAATGAACCGCTTTTTCACATCGGCAGAGAGGAAGAAATCAGGTATCAACTCGATCACGACATTGACCGTGACTTTCAAGGCCATTAATAGGTCAAATTAAGGAATCGAAAAAAAATTTATTTAGCAATGCTCTTGATCAAAACCACTTTTGACTGATTTTTAGACTATCGATCACAACTCATAATAAGATAAGATAGTAACTGAAAATAATCAAAACAATCATCAAATGCTAATCCAACTATTCCAAGGTGTAAAGCTCAAGTTTATTGTATGATATAAAAATTTAATGACATCGTTCGAGACCTGTAAACTATCAACAGAGCTCAATTGGTTTTGGAGACAGAAACCATTTTATATTTTAGCCTGTGGATGATAGATCTGTTCGCGTTTGAGGGTTTTGACAAGCTTTCACTAAGCTTGACTTATTAGTGCCGGCCAAATCTTGTAACAGTTTTTGAACCAGTGAACGCTAACCAAATGAGCAAAAATTTTGTTTCTTTTGTTGCTAGATAATAAATAATTTATCTATCCAATATGGCAGATGCTACAAAGTAGTTTATCAATACTACAGTAACCCCTGTGATATGAATATCAAATGAAAAGGCTTGATAAGGCAAACACAATAAGCAATGTGACGTCACTCTAAATCCAATATGACGGTCGCCGCAAAATC